TGACAATTGCCCTCAGAATTTCCCGAGGGTTTTCAATTCAAAATACACGCTTACAACTCAGTAAATGGTAATGAGTTTGTGAGGATTGATAACCACGAAAATAAACCTCCTCATTATCATATTGATAAAAAACAAGTTTTCTTTGATTGGGTCTCGTGAGAAGAAAGTAAAAAGTTATTTTACCAGTTAGCCTGTCAGCGTTTTGGTAACTTTCCCTGAAACATTAATTAATATGAAAAAATTTATTATTCAATATAATCCTAATTACTCGTTGAGTAAAATGTTCGAAAATTTTGAACAAGCCATAGTTGGAAAGAAACATTTACAACCAAAAAATGTGATAGTTTTCAGCGACTTAGCCACTGTTTACCAAGTGATTAGCCAAGTTCGCTTAGACTTACTAACTTGTTTAATTACTAACCAACCAACTAACATCTATCAGTTAGCCCAGTTATTGAAAAGAGATTATGCCAATGTGTGGAGAGATTGTCAAGCCTTAAATAGTCTAGGAATTATTGAATTGAAAAAGGAAGGAAAAGAAATAAGACCAATTGCTTTATATGATGAAATCGATTTACAAATGAAAATTGTTTCCCAAGAACGACCGGCCGTGACTCAGACCCTTCTCCGCTTCTTTAAAGAAAGTATTATCTATTATGAACCAAGCCGATAAAAGTCAAATAAAAATCTTGGGGGAGGTAAATTTATTGTTGCTAGCCCATAGTCCTCATACCAAGGAAGAATTGGAAAAAGAAGACATTTGAAACATGAACTTAGAAGTTCAGAAGGACCCAGAAGGAAACCAAAAAGAAAACTATTGAGTAGTGGAAAAGAAAGAGTTTACACAAAAGAATTTATTTCAGAACCAAGTGCTTAATTCGGCAGTCACTGGTGAAAAAAATAATCTATTAATACTATCAATTTCTAAAGATGATCAAACTTCTCGGGAAATTGTTCGTAAATTACAAGCAATTAACATTACTAAAACAATTACACCGGATAAGGAGCGAGATAATCGTGAAATTTGATTGTTAGAGAAAGAGAAAGTACCATCTTCTCTCGTTTTTGAGTAACTTTTTAGGTTGAACAAACAATGAGTTTAATACATCTTGCTACTCATAATTTCAATATTTCCGATAAACCAAAAATCCTCCTCCAACTACTAACATAATTACCACAAATCAAAATAGTAATTTGCCTATTCAACCTCACCAACTCTTCTTTTTAAAATCTTTCTCGACTTTAATATTGGGCTTGTTGAGTTGTTTTATCCGTTCAATAAGTTTGGCCTTTTCACTAGGTAAGGAGCCAGTTTGGAGGGATTGGGCTAAGTGGAAAATATCTACCTCATTACTTCAATAACTACGTAGTAAATTTAATCATTGTCCCTCTTTCTGGTCTTTCTGTTTTATTTG